TGTGTAAGTTGAGGGTTGTGTTCCCCCCCCCCCCACAGTCTTTAAGTCAGTCTTGACTCCTAGTGATTTGGACAAATCCCTGTTGTTTTGTTGCAGAAGTACCGTATTTGCCGGCGTATAAGACGACCCGGCGTATAAGACGACCCCCCACCACCACCGGAAACGCCCTCCAGAAATCCCCGGGGCTGCAGCGGCAGGGCGGAGTGCCAGGGGCCATGGGAAGAGCAGGAAGGCTGCAGCCTCGGGCGGAGCGAGGCGAGCGGGATGAAGCGGAAGCGACGCAGGGGATCCGGGAAGCCAGAGGTGCCTTCGCTGCGTCCAACAAGCATCCGAAAGCCGGCAGTGGATATACCGGCGTATAAGACGACCCCCCCACTTGGAGGCATGTTTTTCGGGGCAAAAAAGTCGTCTTATACGCCGGCAAATACGGTAGTTTGACATTGTCTCCTCCCGAGGGCTGAAAGAGAGTGACTAGCCCACGATCTCCCAGCTACTTTGGTGTCTTAAGGCAGGACTAGAACTCAGTCTCTTGGGTTCAGCCCAGTGTCTTAACCATTAAACCAATTTGGCTCTTTTTGTGTACTATTTATGCATCATCATAATTCCACTGAGTAGTGTCTTCCTTCGAAATATTTCCAATGCAGCTCTCTGCCAGAAAGTTGCCCATTCCAATATATAAGCTAAACAGTGAACAGAATTCAAACATATATTTGCCCTGCTTTCTATCTTCTAATGTCAGGTTTCATTGTCAGTCTGCCCAGGTGCCACCATCCAATGGTTTCATCAATGAGCCAGAATGCCAAACACCTGTGACTTTTCGTTTTGTTTTTTTCCACAGAAGGAGTAGGTATACTCAGCATGGTATAATTTTAATCTTCACCATCTTGTTTGAGGGAAGCTCCTCACTGTACATCATCATAGGAACATCGTGTACTTACAGATCCAACCTCCTTAAATACTCATGCATCTTGGTACTTGAACAGGCTGCAGAAAGAAAGAATGAAAACCCCAACACCTGATATTAACAGATCAGGAGTTTAAATATTTTTTTTCTAACCACATTTTGTGGAGCAAGGGGAGAACAAAGTATAGAGGCCAAAGCTTGTCTTCTAGCTAGTATCTCAATTTAACTCTTTGCAGTTCTGTGGACTTTTGCCATTCAGTCAGTTGATTCTCCAATGAATGGAAGGCAGTAGAAGGTTAATAGCTCTGTCATTTAGGAAAAGGAAATATTCAAGAAGCTAACCTGAGGTCTATTTATTCCTGAGGAAACAACAAAATAAATCAAAATTACATTCCAAACATACATTACTTTTAATACAAACATGGAGTTGGAAGTGTTGGGTAATAAATATCCTTACCTCAAATGTGTAACTATTCTACAGGTTCAAAGTCGAGTAAGAAAAATATCTTATGTGGTTCAATATTTGAGCTTTCAAATACTTTGCAGAGACTGCAAGAAAGCCATATGGCTCCCTCAACTGCCTTCAGAAATAAGTGACTTGTAAAAATGTTTCTTTTAAAACAAAGAAATGCTGACATTTTCTTCCTATTTTACATATAAATTTGGGGTGGGTGGGGGGGAAACACATCACTGGAAGAAAAGTGCAGTGTCAACATCTAGGCAGCGCACTCCTTAAAATAATTTCCCTCTTAAGAAATTGCTGTTAGCCTGGTTGATATATTTAAAAATATAACAGCCATGACGCACCAACACTAAACATGCCTGTGTTAACAATTAGTTACAATAAACACAAAACCAGAAGCCTGTGGAAGGTGCTTGACCATTCTGGCCTGCTATAATCATAGCAATGGTTTTGCTTTGTTTTGTAAACTACTTATTGTTAGTAACAGCAAACTGCACACATCCCAACATAGTCATGAGAGAGAGAGAGAGAGAGAGAGAGAGAGAGAGAGAGAGAGAGAGAG